CACTCACTACATTTAACAAGTAGCGGAATGCCCCAGTAAAAGTCTCTCGATTATTTGTTTTAAGTGAGTAGAAGGATACTCTTGTATGAGCTATCCGACTACTTGGAACGGATCCTGTGTATTGTCTCGTACTGACCGTTTATAGTTGTATTGAATGAAATTGAAAAGTTGGTCGAGTTCTCCTGTGCAAATTACTCGACTATCTGTTTGATTAACATATTAGTTGGAATTGATCAAGTAGCAGACGATTCATGTGTGAATCGATCTACTACTTGCATATGTCAGGACAAAGAAGAAGAAGGGAAAGACAATGCTCATGTTGGAGCAAGATCTTACGAATTGAGAAAATAATAAAGAAAAAAGTTAGGCCGTAAGAAAAAGGACACTAAGGATAATAGGACTTACTACAAGATTCGTATCTGTTCATGACTTTCGAAAGGAAAGCTGCGACGGTAAAAGAGTTAAATCTCAACTACATAAGTACCAAGGGGTGTGCTTATTCCCAAGATAAAAAAAAAGTGAAAGGACTTAGAGTAAAGGAAATATGAATTTCTTGAAAATGACTTGGGACACATTAATGAAACTCCTTGACAGAAAGGAGAAGGGGACGAACGACTTAGTGGAGGTCTGTAAGAGTTAATTTAGGGATTAGACCTCGGGATGTCGATCCCAGAGCTCAGAATCATGATCTGAGGGTTTTACCCTTAGCTATCGATAAGTGAAAAACAAGTGGGGGTGTTGAAGCTCTGTTGACCTCTGTGCTACAAAAATGACTCAATATTCTGTTATCTCTCGATAACAGATCGGTTGTTGTAGATTCAACTATTCCCCCTTGACTTTATACCCACATCTAAAAACAAACCCCGTAGTAAGTAAGACTGTCACCTGTGGTCATTGCCTACATAGTCTTAGTCATTCTCAAGGGTCCTTTGAATAAATATGAGGGGGTTGGATTTACTTCTCATGAAAAATCAAACTATCATACATGGTTTAGGAAGTGAGGGACAAGGTCAATGGTGTGGATTTATGGTTGACGTCGTTAGTGCATGGCATGCGAACTGTCTTTTGCATATTTTGTGCAGGTATGTCTTGTGCGTGGTTTTGGATTGAACTAAGTTTGATCTCGTGAAGAGTCTCGAACGCACCGCACTTCTGAAAGTGGGACGGGTTCTCAGCGGTAATACCCTCATACTCATAATTGTCGTGTGAAATCTTTATATTTTGTTTGTTGTTCAGTTAGTCGTAATTTGTTAAGGAAAGTAGAATGCCTTTGGTACGAAGATGGTTCGATTAATACTTTGTTTATCTTTATAAAAAAAATAATATGCTATAAATACTTGAAGTATATATAAATAAATCTTCATATGAATCCAAATTATGCTATGAAGTATAAAATTCATTGATATATTAATATTTTCATAATTCATTCATACAATTGAATTCATAAAATACAATAATACGAGTATCATATTTAACGTCCGATTTCATTCCCTAACTTAGAAGTGGAAAAAAACAGGCTTCTAAAGTTCGACCTGAAAATCTAGAAGTCGAGGATAGGGAGATCAACATCTTGAAACTTGACTTGACTAAAGGGTTAGTCTTAGGCGTCTTACCGCGTGTACCCCATTTCTATGCTATGACTATCGAACAAACGTCCTCGGCCGACCTACCTCTACAAAGGCAAGTAAAAGTTTTCGCATGTGGGTCGGTAACTCGACAGGGATACGCCTACCTAGGGGTGGTGACAACCCCTTGGGTAGAGGTAAGTTGTACCTCGCAGTACCTCGACCTGTTGTGGGGTGCCGTGAGAGGTATATCTAGCGCGCACGATTGGAGTGGTGACTGGTTATTTTTTCTCACAAGAAAAATGTTGCGTGACATGACCGTGAGATTTTCACGCTCGCGGCAGCGTATAGGGTTGTCGCGCGCAACACCAGTTACCCTGTTTGCATTAGTAATTATAAATATCGATATTGTTCAAGTTGACACTAAGGTTGTTTTATATATTTATATGACTACATTTATTGTTTGTTATGGGGAAGGAACAATCTTGGATGCGACGACAAATATGGCATGAATGAGGAACTTTTTTTTTATATAGACCGAAAACTTTAATAGTGATTCATGTATGCAACATTTGGTTGTAAGCGAAACTGAGTATGCGAGTTGAATTGTGAGATCTCTCTTAAATTGAGGAATCAATTGATTTCCTTTTTTGGGGGGGGGGGATAATTTGTGGAATACCCCTATAAGTTGAGATATACGCCAACATGTCCCTAAAAGATGTAGGTAGAGCGACATACCCCTCTAACAAAATAAATGTTTTGAGATATTCCCCTAGGATTGGTTAGACCCGCCATCTTTGTGAAATACCCCTACCAGGTCTTCTTCCATCTTTGAAAAATGTCGCGGTACTTGCCAAAATTTTCCATACCCTATTTATTTCTGTTTTACTCCTATCGGCCCAAATTATTTTGCATTTTACCCCGTTGTTCATCGTCACAACTCCACACTAGTAAGCTTCCTCATTTCCAACTCCTCCCCCCACACCATTCCTCCATGCTCTGCTCCTTCGCCACATCACTACTCTCTCTCTCTCTCTCTCTCTCTCTCTCTCTCAGCGCATCTGCTAAAACTAGAGTTCCTTTCAACTTCTTTTTCTCGTTTTCAATGCACCCTGCTCAAACATAACGTCTTTCTATCGTTCTGTGAGTGTGTGTATGTGTACTGTCATATCCTTTTAACAACCTCACAGGTTGACGCACTTCTGACGAAGTCCTTTGCATCCACACCCTCCTCTTCCTCCTTTAACCTCTTTGTTGATCGTTGACAGTGACATTTAATGAAAATCGGCTAAGAGGTTAGAGAAGAAGGAGGAGGGTGTGAACGCGAGTCTCCGCCCTCCGAACCGTATGTGACAATTTTCCGTCATACAACTCTCCATCGGCGTTCTAGCTCGAACGCATAACACTCCTAGACGAGTCAACAATACGTGCCTCCTGGATGTTTCCGCAAGGCTTACCTTTTAGTAGAGTGGAATCTAAATATCCTATATAACAAGTTGGTGCAACCAGCGATGGTGGTGAATTGGATAATGTAAGCTTTAGTGATCCTGCTACTGTCAAAAAATATGCTCGATGTGCTCAATTAGGACAAATATTTGAATTCGATCGTACTATTTCAATTTCATACTATCTCTTTCAACCTGCAAAAAATTGTAGTAAGACGTATGAGTAAAAATACTTTCATAAAATAAATATTTTTGAAAAATATAAAAATGTTATTTTTACTGAGTGAGTAAGTATATATGTTAGTAATGTTAGAATGATGATTTACGTACCACACATATCATATACATTTTATTACATGTATTCATTTATTATTGATACTTTAATCAACATCATTTTTTTTTTAATTTCATGCAAATGAGACTTGGCGGGTCTCTTGGAGGCAATCAAAATCACATCAATATTCTCTATTATTGATGTGATTTCGTTTGTATCCTTGTCATGGGACAGTACCATACCTTGCAAATAATGCTGTAGTTACCTCTTGAGAGAACAAAAATCGGCATGAAGGTAAGCCATATGCCCCTAGTGTGACGTTCGGTCGCACACTTTGATAACTATAGGTGACCTCACGACTGCCCTATGAGATGCAGAAAGAAGGAGAGGATGGAGGAGGAAATGAAGGAGTAGTCGGGGAAGAGAGGACAATGAGGGAAAAAAGGACTTAAAGATGGTGATGTGATTTTTTTTTTTGCCCCGACACCACTTTTTTTACCAAACGTCAGAAGAGCGTCAACTTGCGATGACAACACACACACACACCCCGCGCG